AAAAAAAAAAAAAAAAAAAAAAAAAAAGCGAAAAAAGGAGAAGGAAAAGACGAGGGGGGGGGGGGGGGGGGAGAACCTCACTTCTTTTGGAGGCAGCTTGCACGAGAAGTACCCTCGTAATCCAAGTATCCCATTTTCTGAGAGAAGGGAAATGTTTCAATTCCATTTGTGGCTCTCATTCTATGTAGAAAATAATGACTTGGGGAGAAATGATATGATTGGACAACGTACAACTGAAGACACTAATTTAGCCTTTGCTACTATGGAATGTGTCCGTTTGGGGGCAGTTCCTCCAGAAAAAGCTTGCTGATAATCTTGTTATTCCTTGTACTTATAAATGAAATAGCGCACTCTGTCCTCTCTTCTAACAGTGCAGGTAGAAAAACAGGCCACAGGTAAAATAGCAATTTCCTTTGCCAAAAACCATGAATTAGAGAATTGAAGGGATCTGGGAGATCCAAACCAACCCCCAGCCTGGGGCAGAAATTCACTAGTATGGCCTCCCCAGCAGATGGCCACCTAGGCTCTCTTTAACCACCGGCAGTGCAAAAGAGCCCCCCCGCTCCCCCCCCGAAGCAACCCTGTTGAACAGCCCTTGCTGTTAGGAAGGAAAAACTCATGCACGAATGCCCACTTTCATTTGCCAATCACCCAGTCCAAACAAAATACTCAGCCTTGAAATGAAGGTTAAAAATAATGATGATGGGAGTTGAAGTCCACACATTTCAAACTTGTCAAGGTTGGGAAACATTGGTGTAGAACTTCATCTTTCATCAGGGGAGTCCACGGTGGAGTTCAAAAAAGTCTAGATGGCACCCATAACCAGCCAAAGCCCCACCCCCTTTTTAACCTGCATCTGCCATCTTTACCCCGGGGAGGGGTTGTTGGCCATACTTGCTACAAAACCAAATCTGCGCTGCAGAAAAGCACTATTTTCTCGCACAGAAGTGGCTATTAACACCACCTCTCCCCATGGCCTCTGCTAAGGGAGGAGATACATCAGCAATCTTTCATCTGGAATTTTTCCTGTGGTTAAGAAAAGGCTTTCAAGCGGGTCCAGTAACCAATCAGTTTGCAAAGGTATCCTCACTGTCTGGTGCTCTTTTCACCTCAAATTGATGAAATGATCCGTTTTATGAGAAAAATAGGCTGTTTTATTGCATAACACTTTTTCAGAGTGATTTTCTGAGATCCCCCTGGAGAGCATTTCCCATCTGACAGGTACACCGAGGCCTAGTTCATAATCTGCTGCCCTCCGAACACAAAACACACTTCCCTTAAGCTAATTTGCACATTTTCCTTCCCAAAGGAGAATGGCCAATGGTTTTATTTCTTTTTCTTTTTTTCCACTTGCTGATAAGCAGGGCTGAACAGTACAAGCAGCAGCATCAGGAGGGAAATCACCAAGAAAGGGGCATAGATAGCAGACACGGCCAGGCGTTCCCGCAGGGTCTGTGGGCCGGGAGCCTTGGCACTGGAGAAATCGGCAAACAGGATATGGGCCAGGCAAATGGTCACAGCTGTAGTTACGTGCGTCGCGTAGATCGTCACAGGGGTCCGGATCCACTTGCAGTTCCCTGGATTGAAAAGCCAGTTTTTTAATAGCTGCAGTCCCGGGTCAAAACTCTGCTGCTCATCTCCTGATTTGCATAATTAATATGCAGATTGTGCCGTAAAAGGGCCTTTTTTTCCCACCATTTCAGGACAGAAAGAGAAGTCCACCCAGGCTGACACCAGTTTACCTTGTCCAGCATGAGCACCTCTGAGCCCAACGGTTCTCATGAATGCCTCCCAGCCTTCAAACTCCATTAGGAAATAGTTGTATTCTTCTCTCCAAGAACAATTGCTAATGGCTCCATGCCCACCCCATGCTGTGCCCACCTGAACCACCAGCAAAAATGATTCATGCAAACTGGCACACTTACCTTTCCAGAAGGCGTAGGCAGCAACAGGGAAGAAAAACAGTGATGGGAATGCTTCAAGGTAGAGGAGGACCTGGAACCAGGGTTCTGGGCTTGCCATCAGTGGATCCTTGAACGTAGTTGTGTACCAGGTCATCATTTTGGACAGCTTAGGAACAGAGAAGATGGTTGGTGAGTGAGGAGGAGGAGGAAGAGGAGGAGAAAGAAGGCCCCTAAATCTTCCATCTATAGTGGGGTGAGGTGATGTAAGTCAATTGGCATAGAATTGCCAATTGTGATAGAAACTCTGCCCCTTTTTAACGTGTTCGGTGGGATGGTGATGCAAAGTGGGCAGGTAGATTTTGGCACCAGTGGGTATGGCCAGTTTTGTTAGCATTGGGGGGACTTTTTTTCCTTTCTCATACTATGTGATGGCTCTGATTACAACTTCTGCATACCAATAGAAAAGTATCTGTTGCTCAGAGTAGAACTGTGGAGTCTTCGGCGCTCTCTCAGCTTGTTTTCTTGCAGACATTTCATTACTCAACTAGGTAACATCATCAGTGCGAGTGCGGGGTTTGCTCCCTGTTTATATACAGTGGCTTGTCCTGCCAGTTTTTG